CATTAACTGTTCCCTCCTGGTGGAATGACCTGCCCAAATCAATCCGAGCAGCTGAGTCCTTAGCCATATTCAAGAAACGACTAAAAACACATCTGTTCCACCTTTATTTTACCCTCTAACTCTTAACACTTTCTATTCTATTTTAATTCTACTTTATATTTATCTTCTCTTTTATTTATTTGTTTATTTAAAAAAAAAAAAAAAGCAAACAAACACTAGCTTTCAATTTTTTCTATTCTATTTACTTGTTTTTCTGTGTGTGTGTATGTATGTACCTTGCTACGTTTACTGTGTTAGGCTAACCGAGACTTGTCATTTGCACTTATATATTGTTGCTCTTTTGTTAGTTTTGACTGCTTTTATTGACCTCATTTGTAAGTCGCTTTGGATAAAAGCGTCTGCTAAATGACTAAATGTTAATGTAAATGTAATCTTGTGGAAGTTTGGTGTAGCAGCAGGGCACATTGATAATTGTTAGCTATTTTCTTAGTGGTTGATTTAGACCATGTGACTCTTGGGTTAGAGGTTAACCAGGAAATGATCGCAGTGTTCGGTATGCGGTTGTCCAATAAGTTCTTTACTCTGTTTCCTTTGCGTTTTGTACCTTGGAAAGGCTTTGCCTGTAAGTCTATTACTTTTCTTCAGTGTTTGTAATAATGTATATGCACATATAAATGTGAAATTCATAAGTTAGAGTTTAAAACTATTACTCTTCGGTGATAATACTAAGCAGAGCATGAATGTAGCCCTTTGTTATGTTTGTTCAGATAACATTGTAAATTCATTTGCATTTATTTTTTAACTCTCTGTAACAAAATGTTTGTAATATTTTTATGTTTCAGTTTTACAAAAAAAGAAAAGAATAAGAAACGGAAGAGGAAAGAACCTAACAGTAAAACGTTCAACTAGGGATGTAACGATTCTTCTGACTGTTCCCCTTTAATATGCATTATACAGAGGCAAGATGAAAAGAAAAAATACCATCTAAACTTTTCTAAAGACAGTAAGTTCCCCTCAGACATGCATTCATATAAACTCCTACCCCTAAATGAATCGCGATTTGTTTAGCATCTCAACCGATTTGAATCGTCACATATTTGAATCGATTTTCAACCGGCTCGCAGTTAATCGTTACATCCCTACGTTCAACTTTACTCCTGCGTCTGCCCCTTTTCTGACTTCTGACTGTTAGCTATCTGTCAGTGTCGCGTAGATGGAACACGCATCTAGGACAGAATACTATGTTACAGTTTAAAGTTGAATATATTAATATTAATAGCGTGAGCCTGAGAGTCTTATGTTTATTTGACAGTGATTTCACATTTCTCATTTGTATGAAGGCTAAATTCAAATAAAAGGTGACCATTAATTTATTTGTGCCATTTTTTTTATTTTTTATTATATAGTTTTATAGGAGGAGATTTAATAGACTTGGCAAATTAATTCAGAATTTCAGAAGTTTGTAAGTACTGCTGAAACTACCGAACATGCGTCAGCACGCGCATGCGTCGTGATACTCTGTACACAATGCTGGCGAGCCGTAGCAGACATGATGAGAAGGAGAAGAATTGTTGAATAACATCATTACTTTTTGTGCACAAAGAAAATAAAAATAATCTTGTAGCTTCGTAAAATTACAGTTGAACCCCTTATGTCACATGGACTATTTTACTGATGTCACTGGCAAATTTTTATTTTTCTTACGTTTTATCATTCCGAACGTATAGCGGTAGCTGGATGCCTTTGCCCATATCAGGGATTTCCTGGAGCGTCAGGAGTTCTGTTTCTTCTATTATACATAGGGTTGGGTACCGAAACCCGGTACCAATATGGCACCGGTACCTATGTAACTGGTATGTACTAGAACCGAATCCGAACGCAGATTTCAGTGCCTCATTTCGCTGCCATGCCTGAGCGATCAATTGAAATATTTGTCCTCTGGTTCTCCGAAATGGACGTAAGAAGCATCATCACTGGCACCGCACGTGAAAAATAATTTTCCGACTGAGAAAATGCACGTGAACTCAAGTTGGAAAGCTCTTATACTACAAATCCAACACATCTTTGTAGTAACGAGAGTGTCCATGTTGTTTTCACATTCCGACTTAAAAGCACAACTCAGGAAATGAGAGCATCCGAGGAGTGTGTGAATGCAGTAATTACACTTGCTCTGATGGAAGCAGGTAGCCTTCCGTTAACTAAGCTAAACATGCTTAAATTAAAATGCCTAAAGCTAAACTTCTCTTGTATTCACATTTCTAAACCTGTTGTCCAACAAAAGAGAAAATTATAACCTTTTTACTCCACAACACCAGTCAAATGCTTCCTTTTGTGATCTGATGAGGCTCCTTGTCACAGAATGAGGCAGAAAATATGTTCCATATGCTACTTTAAAAAGAATACATCGATTAGCAATAGATTATAAATTAGGGTGACCATACGTCCTCTTTTCCCCTGTAGGGTATCACAGCGAATCAGACACTTTAAGATTTGATCAGATTGGTGTTGAACAACCCAAAGAGCCAAATTCCACAAAGGGGCCCATCTCATCCAGGATGAGACAACAGGACGTTCATAAATCAGTTTCTGGCGCCACGAGTCTGAAGTGAGCCTAACAAACTAGCAGTCTCAAACAGCTTTCAACATAAAACAAAATAACACTTATTGCCAATTCCAAGGAGATTGTAAATTTGGGGCAAGTAACAAAGATTAATGGTCAAAGACACAGCATATCATGACCATCACATGATGAAAATCATTAGTAGAAACTGCGTTGGGCGGTCTCCCCCGCCTAAGAGGACAAAGACCACTGAGATTCCTTAGGAGACTGTTAACCTCTAGTCTTCACAGAACATGTTCTATGATCACACTTATGTTAATGGAACAGAAACGGTCTTTTACAGATGTGCACCAAAATGAACTCAAAAGGGCTTATAAACTAATATCAATCCATTGCTTAACTCCATATCATGTATGTAACCCACACATTGGACAATCACAATAGCAAATACTTAAACTAATAACAAAACAGTAGCTGATTCAGAAGCGCCAGATTGTCATAGTTTTTTGTTAATTTGTTGCAAAAAACACTAATGAATTGAATATGAATTGAACCGTGAGCTAACTGCATTGTTGCATCCCTAGTGGCCACTGTGTATTAGAGAAAATAATATTTTCATAATGAAATTTTGTTGAAAAGTTAAGATTTTTTTGTGATTTTTTTTATTTATTTATTTTGTATTTACTTTTTTTACATAAAAAAACAGGTTTATTTTCACAACCTTCTTTGATCATATTTTCTTAAGCAGGGTAATTTAAATTTAATTTTGTATTGTAATTTTTATAATTTCTATTTTATTAATCAAAATACAATGCCCACAATAATATTCATTATTGGGCTGCCGAAACTCAGAACACGTGCATGTTGAGGGGCGAGCTGAGAAGCCTACTAATGTTTTCATCCGTTTGCAACAAAACTTTATAGTTTTTATTTTAATTCATTATTATCAATTCATGCTTCACCTAATTTCATCATAACATGGGCCTGGCCTACAGGAAATAATTTTAAAGTTTATGTTTAATCTGTTTAATATTGTGTTGGTCATATTATACAATGATTTATTGCTTGTCTTTGTTGAATAATATAGAAGATAAAGAGCTTTAAAAAAATTGCATATTAAATCACAATCGTAATATTGGTTAAAAAAAAAAAAAATCGCAATTACATTATTTTCCAAAATCGTTCAGCCCTAGTAAGAATGCGAGAAAGAGAGCTCAGTCCAGTGTTCGCCAATATAAGAGGCGGCTTTTGTGTGTGTGTGTGTGTGTGTGTGTGCGCGCGCAGCACAGAAAACAGCACGCGAGTGCAGAAGCGAATTCTATTTCGTCTTCTTGCAGTTGAATCTTTTGAAATCACAATAAATGCGCATACAGAAATCGAGAAGCAGAATCGAAATGTAATTTTATAACAAGTAATTCGATTCCTGACCTTATGCATCTAATCTGATTTCCGAAATTGGAATAGCTTTTCGATTCCCAACCCTTCTACTAAATTATTTAATTCTTGCAAGCAAAAAGACCTGTATGGTGACTATGGGGCTAAGTAAAATATTTTTTGCAATTTACTAGGTTTATCATTTGTCATTTTCATTTTCAGTCATGTCGATAATCGTCTGTTACCTGACTGTTGACATCGACGTTACGAGACATCGTCTATATATGATAATATCGTCATATCGCCCAGCGCTAATTCCATGTTTTATAGGCAACCTCTGTCATGCTAATTCAGATGAGCACAGTTGGTTTTAAATTAATCTAGTTTATTTTAGTTAGGAGTTAGTAATCTGTACTTAATCTGTTTTTCCGAAAGCCATTTTTAAACCTTGATTAACTATTCTAGATTATGCCTACTCCTGTCTTAATTTAAACCCTGTCTGGGAAACCGCCCCAGAATTTACCTCAGAAGAAGAATGCAATGCAATGCGATGCGATTCGATTCGATGCACAGCTTGATCCAGTGGAAGATATCAATCAGATGAGTTAGATTATTTGCGTTAGTTACGTTATTGTGTATGATTTTCAGTGTTTATCTAAAAGTGCTCTTTTCCTTTAAAACTAGACAAAAAGCCATATGTGTTGACTGTGAAATACAGTAGACTTTAATAATATGCATTTATGGTAATTACTACATTTTCGTGTCAATCCATGATCATATTTACAGCAAACAATGCGCAGTTACTTTAATTATTCGCTTGCAGCACAGCAATAGACTCTGTGCCGAATCGACCTCTGCACTGCTGCAGACGCACCGCTCCTGGACGCACTGCTGGACCGTAACCGTGTGCAGTGAACGCTTTATTAATCCGTTAACATGAGCGTGGAAAAAATATGCACCGCAAACGCACTGCAAACGGAGTGTGTGTGTGTGAACTTGGCATTATGTGTGTGCGCTGCCAGTGTGCATGAGCGCTCAGTCTCCAGGAGAGCGCGCGAGTGCTGAATGGTTTAAACACCGGCAAGAATTAAAAAGAAATGCAATTTATAAACTTTAGTGACAATGCGACACTGCCTCGATTGTGCAAGTGACAATTCC